TTTTTTGTATAAGATTTACAACCCGAATCAGGATGTTTATGAGTTTTACAACCCGAATCAGGATTTTTATAAGATTTACAACCCGAACCCGAGGGGTTTATTGTCACAAAACCCTGAAGAGACCCTGAAGAGAAGAGAAGCGATAAGCATAACAGAGGTGACGTTTAGTTCTTGCAATAACAGACTGTGTGAGTACGTTGTGGGAAATATGTTCATGTTTAAAATTCGTATCAGGCATTGTTTTAAACGTGCGTGAGGTATGTAAGTCTAATGTATTGAAAGATTGAAAACTAACTTCGGAAAATGTTCATTAGAAACCTATCAGTTATACCTCTTGCAGATGGGTCTGTGTATTTTTTTAAAATAACGGTACCAATTTGGTCACGTCCAAACTAAAAGAGTTGTTTTGGCTCAGTGTTTGAGATATAAACTGATTAATATGTAAAGAATTACGGGTAAAATAATTAGAAGGAGGCAGGTGTCCCTGTTGTCTAGTTCGTTGTAGTTCAATGACCCGGTGGGAGCAGAATATGCATTCGGATTGAGACTTGTGTTTTCCTTGTCCCTGACACGTTGTCATGCTCTCAGACGTTTTCTGTAATACTTTTGAAACTACCAATCACGGTTAAAACGTTGTAAGCTACCCGTGTTTACTAAAAGACGAATAACAGCGATCTGTTTATGATCACGGCCCTTCGTCAGAAATAACGAGATGAACACATTTCCAAATTTGGTGCATTAGTGACCAAACTATATTATAATTCCCAAATACAAGTATTTTGACTTGTTTCATAGGTCCACGTGTCTGTCCATGGGAACACTTGCCTCCGAATGTGCTTGTGAAGGGTGCTACCTGTAGGATATGATATGTAGATGATATAGGATATATATGATAGTTCGTCTTATGCATATAAAACGTCAATGTCTCGATAATCCACCGAAACATATTCCATGAAGCGTATAAAGTAAAACAGCGGTAAAAAATTCATTGATGACATCAGGTTTCGAGAAAAGAGTCAGCAAGTCCTGCCCTTAGGTTTGCACCCGCCCATCACACAATTTGCATGCTTGTCGCCTGTACTCCTGTATTGCGACGGTGCCTGTAAACACGAAGTGTTCCTAATGGATTTATCCTGTGATATTTGTAAAGCAACCTTTCAGATTTGGATCATCTTCCTAAATCCATCATACTTCTGTCGCGGTAAACACAAGTATTAGTCTATGTAAATACCAGTATTATAGCTATGAAAGAAGACGTAAGTATGAAAAGCCTGTACAATTGTGCCTGACATTACCTTTTTTCACGTTCCACACTATTTCAAATGTATGTGTTGTATATAGGCCATATAGTCTTCTTCTTCTTCTTCTTCGTCGTCGTCGTCGTCGTCTCCTCCTTCTTCTTGTTCTTCTATACATATTACTCCATCACATGATGGCATAGACAAAGTTAATGTGATTTAAGTATAAAATACAGCAGGTTTTCTTTATACACGTATTGTGTTTTTACTTAAACCATCGTGTTGCAGTGAAAATAGCAAGTGCTTGTCAGATCTTGATTCTGAGCCAGAACCGCAGTCTCCACTTGTCATGTGGTCCTGGCCAGTACATCTCTATACAGGACGTGGCAGCTGGAGCCCGGAACTACGACTGTAGGGTGGAGAGGAGCGTGGAGTGTAGCACCACCCCGGCCAACATCAGCCACCTGCCTCAAGTCACAGCATGTAATGGCAACAGCAGTTGTAACGTTTTACTGCACTTGATTGTCACATGTGGCGGCTCATTTCGTACGATCCATGCAGAGGAGATTCTATACAGATGTATTGAATGTAGGTATACATGGATACTGCTATTCTGTATTCCTAATGTATCAAACCGCCTACCCGGTGGAAGCTATTAAGGTCGTAGGTTCGATCCCTGATTGTGTCAAACCACAAGACATTTTGTTACAGTTTAATGTGTCTGAGTGGGGTATCAATATTAACCTGCGTCATGGTGCGCCAGTGGGTTAGCACAATAAAACCAGTTGTTTGGTTGGTTTGGTGTTTAACGCGGCTCTCAGAAATATTCCAGCTATATCACGGCGGTCTGTAAATAATCGAATCTGGACCAGACAATCCAGTGATTAATATCATGAGCATCGATCCACGCAATTGGGATAGATGACATGCATCAACCAAGTCAGCGAGCCTGACCACCCGATCCCGTTAGTCGCCTTTTACGACAAGCATAGTCACCGTTTACGGCAAGCATGGGTTGCTGAAGACCTATTCTACCCCGGAATCTTCACGGGTCATAAAACAAGTAGACATCCCAACTATCAACCAGTCACACAATCACCCAGTGTGGGAACCCCAGCCCAGTTTCTTTAGGCGTAGGCTTTACCCACTTGGCTACCATAGCACCCCTCCGCTGTTGTAGCAATGTATTGTATTGTAGCAATGTATTGTGTTCATGATTGTTATGTTGAATCTCCAGCACAGCACCAAGTTGCATGTACACCACGGTTAGCATCACCAAGATCTACAGTAAAGGGTAAGGCATTACAAATACCATGTCCCATGGGCCTAAACAGTTATATTAATAATCAATGGGGGTCGTCTAAGGTGCCGCAAGTCGCGGTGCAGAGTTGCGTCCCTTGGCCATGCCAGAAACCTATGATTGTGGGTTCGAATCCCGGTTCACAAAGATTATGGTTCTAGGTTTGTCAGCACAATTCCCGTGATCGTGGGTTTCACCAACTTCTGGAACCGACATAACTGAAATACTGTTTAAAGCGGCATTAAACTCAACACACTCACTAATAATTTATTACTTATACAGTACGATATCGACTAAAGTATTGTGAACAAAATTCTGAGTTTCTAACTTGAATATTGTTCAGAACGTCCTTTTCTTATGTTTACAATGCCCACATCCCTATGGTTGATTCGATACATCCAATCGAAGTTCGCGTTAAGCATGTGCTAAACTATGCGTTCTTTGCCCATCACGTTGTGACAGTATTATCCTTCTGCTGTCATTACCTACACATGGTATCCCACTCACGATGCAGCTGTTGTTACTTTTAATCCTCTACTGTTAATCCCCCACCTACTATCTATATTCTGTACAAAGTTCCTCTAAAAATCTTGCTTGACAACGGCTTAAGGATCCATACCGAAACTTCACCTTAACAGTATTGAAGAAGTTGTTTTCCAGTTTACTTGGTCTTGTGCTTACAAAATGAGATAAGTGTGATCAATTCTACAGGAAATATATAGCTCTTAATTGAAACTAACTAAATATTTATTTGATCCCGCCGGATACCTACAAGAGTGTGTTAGCAGGTCATTTCGTGTTACACTAAAGGTATGGTTTCTCTTGAACGGTACAAGTTTCGGAGTTTCACTGCGAATGATTGTTTTATGGCATATGCACTCGAGCATATTCTTGTTATGTGTGTTTGTTATTTGTTTAACGCCGCGCTCAGCAATATTCCAGCTATATGACAGCGGCCTGTAAATAATCGAGTCTGGACTAGACAAGCTAGTGATTGACATCATGAGCACCGATCCACGCAATTGGGATACGATGACATGCATCAACCAAGTCAGCAAGTCTGACCACCCGATCCCGTTAGTCGCCTCTTACGACAAGCCTCCTCGCCTTTTACGGCAAGCATGGTTTGCTGAAGAGCTGTTCTACCCCTGATCTTCTCGGGTCTCTTGCAACGAAGTGTTCGTGAAGATACCACACACATGTTTTGTAAAATACCCTTACTGTGTACCTGTTATAACCAATCTGTACGGGGCTGTACCTCAGCCTCTACCGATTGTGTAACGAATGTAGCCCTCCCTGTAGTAGCCTCTTGTGACAAATACTCGTGTAGATCAGGGTTCCTTACGGGTTTATACTGAAAGGGAGATACCATTTTTAATTTATTATTTAATTCATCATATGATACTTAAATCAGCTAAAAATAATGAAACAAACATGAAGTAATTGTTTGTTTGTGTCTTGTATAAATAAACAATATTCCAGTTATATGACATACAATGTGTCAGGCCGGGATATTGCTGGAATATTGCTGGAATATTTCTAAAAATGGCGTAAACTCATTCCCACTCACTCGCATACGTGTAACATACTGTTTTGTTGAAGGTAACATAGCCAGTGCTTGTCGGTGTCCCAATGAAGTCCAACACAATCCTCTACACCTCTATTGTGGTTCTTCATTGCACATATCCATAACCTCCGCGTCAGCCGGCGCCCCTACTGCAGACTGTGGAGTGGACAGGAGTGTGAGGTGTAGCAGCACCCCAGCCAACATCACAGACCTGCCTCAAGTCTCAGCATGTCACGGCCAGAACAGCTGCAACCTGAGTCTTAAGTTGACAGTTGCATGTAACAGTATAGACAAATGGCCCTTTGCAGTGGAAGTCACATACACGTGCAAACCGAGTAAGTTGGTTTGGTTTGTTGTTAACGCCGCACTCTGCACTATTCCAGCTATATGACGGCGGTCTGTAAATAATCGAGTCTGGACCAGACAATCCATTGATTGACATCATGAGCATCGATCAACGCAATTGGGGGTGAGTGAGTGAGTATGGTTTTACGCCGCTTTTAGCAATATTCAAGGAATATCACGGCGGGGGACACCAGAAATGGGCTTCACAAATTGAACCCATGTCGGGAATCGAACCCGGGTCTTCGGCGTGACGAGCGGGATACAATTGGATACAATTGGGATACGATGTCATGCATCAACCAAGTCAGCGAGCCTGACCACCCGATCCCGTTAGTCGCCTCTTACGACGAGCATAGTCGCCTTTTACGGCAAGCATGGGTTGCTGAAGAGCTATTCTATCCCAGCTCCCGAGTAAGTATACATAACTTGTATCATTATTGTAAAAAGTATCAATGGAAGTAAGTTGAGAAATATTATATAGACAATGTAATCATACATAATATAATGCGTGTGGAATCTCTCTTTCGGACAGCTGGCACAACGTTTTTTCCATATTTTCTAACATATTGACAATTAATCATACCAGTCAAATACCAAATGTCAGTTGTTTGGGGGACCGTCTCTTCCCTGGCGTTAATTGTGCATTCTCATATTGATACAACAGTTAGTTATAATTTAGTTTTGGGTGGAAAACAGGATCAACAACCTCGTTTTAATTTCATAGCGAAAGTAAAATGGTTACATGTCCTCGATTTCACATTTAAATGAAATTAAATTAACAGATATTGGAAGGGTGTTTGGATCCTTCAAGACCATTGCATCGTCTACTGGTACCAACGACAGTACCACCAAGAGGTCAACAATGGCTACTACAGGAAAAGAAGTGGTTACTACACAATCTACCACTGTGGGAATACAACCCTCTTCTGTTTCTACGACCAACTATATCTTACGTACAACTGGATCTACGACCAAAGATTCCTTATCTGCTGTTCGTCCAACTACTAAAGGTACCACGCCGGGTCTACGTTCAGAGCTACCGTTTGATCTACCGTAACGACTACAGGCACCACAGGGTCTAAACTGAAACACACCATATCTACATCCACATCTACTCAGGGTAGCATGAATATCACATGACAAAGATTCAACATAAAAACAAACATTAAAGCATTTGCTTCAAATTTAGTGTCGAAACTAATTATTTTGACCCCGCGTCCAAAAATATAAGTCTTTTTGTTACCAATTCTTTGCCAGTTTACTATCATGATGAGTCAAAATTGTTTGAACTGCAGATGTTTATTCTGAACCATCATAATTGATGCTGCCTTAGCTATACAGTAAAGTACGGTTATAACGAACTCAAAGGGACTACTAATTTTAGTTCGTTATAACCGTAGTTAGTTATAAGCATATATACAGCATAATACAGCTAATTATCGGGACCAAAAAAGTAGTTCGTTATATCCGTCAGTTCGTTATAAGCGTGTTCGTTATAACCGTAGTTTACTGTACAATGATGAATTTATTCATGTTACTTGCAATTGCAATCAAAGGTATTGTTATCCCACATTATCAGTCTTTCATTATCTTTAAGAAGTATCACTTGTGCTGTAATGAAGTACAGCGACAGTGTGTACGTATAAATGTTTAAAAATGGTGTAATACATTGTGTATTTGAATTAAAAGTTACAGTGAACGTGCCCAATTGAATGTATTTCCATGCATGATAAGAGCTGTATGGGTCACGGCTGAGACTTGAATAAGGATTGATCAAGTTGATAGCGTCCAGCGTGCCTTCAAGAAGTGTTTTCTGCTTCCAGAAGACAACAACGATACCCTGACCATCGCAACAATTGCCAATCTGTGTGTGCTGACTACCATCGTGTGCATCATTTTGTTCCTGTAAGTTATCAAGTGTTTAAAGCACGTCATCATGTTTGAATCGAACAATCAGTTTTGAAGTCAGAATAATACTTAGAAATTTTTTATTTTTTATTATAGGCATTTAGAAAACACTCTTAGCGTTAAGAACAATTGCGGTTCATTTCGGGTGGACTGAGACCCGAACTTTGACAACATGCTTTCACGAGGGGCATCCAATCCGTATTCGTATACAATTCTTTCACTCTTATTCGTATTTCTAGAAATATGTTGAAACATATGGGTTTTACGATTACAAGTGGAGATATTTGCTCAAACAAACTATTCGCAAGGCAAAGCCTTCTTTCAAGTCGAGCGGGGACGGGTGGCCCAGTCGTCAAAGGCGCCGCGAATCGCTGTGCAGAGTTGCGTCCATTGGGCATGCCAGAAACCTATGATTGTGGGTTCGAATCCCGGTTCGCTCCGATTGTGTTTCTATGTTTGTCAGCACCATACCCGTGCTCGTGGGTTTCACCCAAGCGGCAAACGTCTGTGACCTGCACCACTTCGGGCTTTCCTCCCACATTAAGCTGTTAAAAGCGGCGTTAAACCCAACTCACTCACTTTCACGTCGTCTTTGATTATTTGCGACAATGCTTGACATGACTTCCCGTTGCTAAGGGCTGCTCCGCAAACAATCGAAACAACGGAAGGATTCACACTAAGAAACAGTTATGGTGCTCAGCTAATTCAAACTTACTGAATGATAATAAGCCCCGTGGTTCATATTTAATATATTTGATACGCTACTTCACTGAAATAGTATATTTGTCATTGAATTTATTTCATAGAAATGATTTTTGCACATTTCAGTAAACTGGTGAAGCCCAAAATGAGCAGATCATCTCCAAGCCAGAATCCCTACAGTTCGAGTCATGTTGAACACACTGGTGAAGCTGAATTCGATCACTACAACTATCTATCAGCAATACCCAGCAATACGCACAGCAACGTAAACTCTCTTGGACATTCTGAAAGTCAAGAGTATGCATCAGTAGACACGTTCGGGAACCTAGAAGATGACCCGCCTAGAGACGTCTCTTAACTAAGATTGTTCCATTGAAAAGCTTTTAAACTATACAAATATCACCAGTCACCTGCACATGCCTTACACTTATCATCATTTTTTTAGATATAAATATGTGCTTAACATTGACTTTATTAAGTAGATTACAATCTATATAAAGGTTAGTTGGAAGTTGACCTTCACTTCACTTCAATGACCCGGGGTCGATTCCCTACATGGGAACAGTGTGTGAAGCCCATTTCAGGAAACTGGAAACTGGAATAATAATAGTAAAAGCGGCGTAAAAGCATTAATCACTTATTCACTCATTCAGCACACATGGATTTGTAACATATTCTTACAAACACTAAATAATAAATTAACAGTTAATAATAATCTTCAGTTTTGCTTTTGACAACAAGCAGGTAATACTACAGGTTGAATTTACAAGTAATGCCTGTCTTCACTTCTCGTGGTACTTCATGACACTATGCTTGTCACAAGAACATGCAACGTTGTAACAAATAGTATGTCCCTATGCTTAGAGGTATGCATGTCCCTATTGCTAAGAGGTACCCATATCCCTGTTGCATAATGGCAAACATGTCTCTATTGCTGAAATAAACATTTCATATTGCGTAGAGGTAAACATTTCTCAGAAGCGCGTACTTCTTGCGTGCAAGTAAGCATGTCCCTATAACGTGGAAGTTAACATGTCCTTTTGTTCAGACTTTAACGTGTCACTATTGCAAAGAGGTAAGCATGTCCATTATGCGTAGATTTGACATAGAGGCAAACGTATCTCTGTTGCTTAGAAGTACCATGTCACTCTTGCGAAAAGGTAAATATGTCCATATTACGGGGAGGCAACCATTTTTTACTACGCACTGGTAAACATGTCCCTGTTTCGTAGAAGTAAACATGGCCTTTGTGCAGCGGTTAACATTTCCTACTCCGCGAGGTAAACATGTCTACATTGGAAAGAGATAAATATGTCCCTATTGCATAGAGATAAGTATGCCCCTACAAGTTAAGAATAGAGAAAAGTGAAAACCTGGACTCTTTTTTTCAACCATTTACAAAGGTTCTGTTTTACTTGGAATACAATCACATCGGTTATCATCATAAGCACAGCACAAATAGTTTTACATGAAGTAGATCTACTCATTCAGTTAATTGCGCAAAACAACATTAAATATGTGCTACTGGAAAATGCACGTGGAAGGCCTTGTTTGGTTATTTGCCTTGTTACCAGCCGCTCTGAGCAATAGATCAGCTATATGACAACAGCTTGGAATTTATCGAGTCTGTACCAGGCCAACAAGTGATTGATATTATGAGCAACAGGCCGTCTGGGTAAGACGACACGCATCAACCAATTCACCGGCCTGACAAACATATGTTTATATGGACCAATTCTAATCCCAGAACCTTAAAACCCACATGTGCATCGGAGGTTACCCATAGTGATGTAACCCGTGAGTGAGTGAGTGAGTGGGTTGGGTTTAACGCCGCTTTTAACAGTATTCCAGTTATATCACGGCCTGTCAGCTTAATGTGGGAGGAAAACCCGAAGTGATGCAGGTCTCAGACGTTTACCACTTCGGTGAAACCCACGAGCACGGGTATGGTGCTGACACACCTAGAAACATAATCGGGGCGAAACGGGATTCGAACCCACAATCATAGGTTTCTGGCGTGCCCAAGGGACGCAACTCTGCACAGCGAATCGCGGCGCCTTAGACGACTGGGCTACCCGTGCCCCCTGTAACCCGTGAAGATTCCGGGGTGGAATAGGTCTTCAGCAACCCATGCTTGCCGAAAAAGGCGACTATGCTTGTCGGAAAAGGCGACTAACGGGATCGGGTGGTCAGGCTCGCTGACTTGGTTGATGCATGTCATCGGTCCCGGTTGCGAGGATCGATGCTCATGATGTCAATCACTGGATTGTCTGGTCCAGACTCGATTATTTACAGACCGCCATCATATAGCTTGAATATTGCTGAGTGCGGCGTTAAACAACAAACATACCAAACCATAGTGGTGTGGTGTGGTGCTCATCGCTGTTTCTTTCCAAACTCCCCTTTGTTTTCAGTTATGAAAACCTCCAAATTTATATTCATTACTTGTTCATAATGTGTACGTAGATCCCATATAGTGTATGCAGATACCACCATACACACATCCAAGTAAATGATCACACCATTTTGACGTGTACGGAGATGACATATTGATCACGCGACAATCGCGTTTAGATATAAGCTTGTTAATAGTTGCAACATCTGCATACACGTCCTGTAAGAACGGCTAAACAATCCAATTCTAATAGAGTCTCGGAAAATAATGAACATTGTATTTCGAAATAGTCAGAAACATTTTTTTATAAAAACATCTATCTATGAAGTGTAAACGCAAACGCAACTTTCTATGAACATATTGTCTTAAGACGCATTCTGTTTCTAGTTGAATGCTTGAAGAGGTCCTTCCATTAAAGCATATCTTAAGAAACCTTCATCTATATAAGCAATATTGGGGGCGTCAGATAGGGAAGCATACGGACCTAGTCTAGTATCCTAGTTACAGCGTGTTTTGTATGATAGTGTGTCTGAATAAATGCACACATGAAAACTGATATGTTAGAACATAATTGAAAGTGGCCACAGCTGTATACAATTAAAAAATTACTCACATTTAACTGGTAATGGGGCAAAAAGCATCAAGAAGAGCATAAGCAGCATCTCGCTTACTTTCAATACTTGTCCATAGGATATGTGTACTTCTCCATAACGACAGAAAGGTACGTAATAAAGGTCGTAAATATACAGATTGGTTTGTGTGAATCTTCATGGAGCCTTCATTTCAGCAATAAAACCTAGCTTGTCACAGCCCCTGAACCACAGTATGTCCTCCCTTCCGCCAAGCCGTTAATGTAAAGGTGTAGCTCTAAATGAAACAAGTCTAGCTTTTCCACAGCTTTTGATCGTTAGGATCCCTTTTCAATTTAAATTGAGTTCAACTTGTTAGTTTCTATCAAAATAATATATTTTCAGAGACTGAGCGTTAACTCATAAACCTGTTACATGTAAGCCTTACTTTAAAAAAAACAATCCCCTATGGCATACACTAGCAATTCCTTTGCTGATATAAAACATCGCTTCTGCTGGTCATGCCTAGATGAAGTAGTAAACGGCTGTCTTACCTGAAGTTTCATTGCCTGGCAATACTCCTGATTTTAGATTGTTGTAACAGTCATATCTGAAAACTTGCAGACGTGATGACAACAAAATATCATAACAATGATTTACACAGTCCAATGTAAGTATGTATTAAATCTAGCTGATGCTAACGATTGCGGAAAATGGAATTTACTACACGAGTTTTCAAAAAGAGGCTAATATCACGTGCAACGTGAAAGTCAAGGTGGAAGAATGTTGTGTCTTACATCCCGTTGCGTTATGAATTAGGCAGCACGAAATAGAACGATAGAATGTAGGCACACTTCTGGTCCAAGTATCGAGTTGATACCATGGGTCATATATGTCATCCAATATCATTAATCGTTTTTCAATTATAATGAAGACAATTTCGTTTTAATAATTAATTTTATGACTATATCGGTACGACGGACGTGTTCATTAAGATAAGGAATGAACACACTGCACATTAAAACAATGACTAATAAATAGTCTTCAAGAATTTAACACCCCTTTATATATTCTTAGGTCTACTGTAGATGCACAAAAATATCCTAGTAAGTACATGTCATATATATATATATATATATATATATATATATATATATATATATATAGAATTCCTGGAGATCGTACTGCTGACTGCAAGATGAAGTGGGATTGTACGGTGTTAGCTGTACCTGTCTCAACATCCAACATCATAACGTTATTCAGTTTATGACAGTCATGGGATGAACCATTGTGATGCATCGTTACCGGTTAACCCTTTGCGGGATAATACAAAACGTCAAAATGTGGCTGAAACCTTTGAAGTTTAAAGATTTAAAGATTAAAAGCAAGTGTTTATGAATCACTATCAAATAGTGATGATACAAGGTGTTCACGAAACGATGAGCGTATCCTGCCCCAGTGGTGGCACCCGTCACAAACGCATGCAAAGGCAAGTCAGTCAGACTTAGAAAAACACGGGAACATTTGATACATGTCCAAATATGGAATTGCATCGGCCATCATTATTGTCACTATGTCAAATTTGGAAATGTCCTCAACGTGTCTACCATAAAACGTTTTGAAAGCTTTACTGAGGCCTTGAATATTATAACCTTGATCACACAACTTCTGATCAGGAAGTGTAATACGCTCTTTGAAATCTTGGTAGAAACAGCATACTCAATTGTACCGTAAAAGTTGTGAAATTGTAGACACCGTGGGCAGGAATATTGCTCGACATAAAGGGAATGTTGACTATTGGCAAGTTGAAGTCATTCTTGAAGAGAGTGTTTCGTCACTCTGAATATTTATGCATAGATCTAAATATGAAACAGATGAAGGGGTCTTGCTGGTCTTCTATATTTCTTCAGCCCCACACTGAAGCACAGTCAACACATGTGGTGTCTCCTTGGCCAAGTGACTTTGTTCGAATTTTGCCTCTGTTCACCCAGCAGGGAATGGTACCCTGTAGGATGAGATGGCAATGTGCTTGTTAACCTTCTAGCGCCTCACAGGCACCTTGGGTTGTATACTCTCCAGGGAGCTGAGAATTATTGTTGAGTGCACACTGATCCATTAACTGGGGTAATAAATGTCTCAGCGTGTAGAGCATGCTTATGCACAGCGCCATATAAATGGACAACTATTTCTATTTTTATTAATACACGCTCGCGTTAATTTCAAGATTTACAATATATGTTATAATTTGATCACAACCTCTCTTGCATACTTGGATTGCATTGATTCAACAAAGCAGTTTCTTGGAAATCAAAATGGTATATTCCATTGTAGAGGCTACAAGTTATAGACAGCGTGCCAAAAAACGCTGAACTAATTCATTTCTCTATAAACGTTATTAAAATATATATTTCTTTAAATGTATAGGTCTTAGAAGTTAGTGAGCATTCAACC